TGAGAAAACCCTTGTCTCAGGAGTGAAGGCTTAGGCAAGACATAAGAAAAAAAAAATGCCAGGAGTGGTCATTGATTAGCTCCTGGACAATCTGCTGTCCTCACCCACCTCCAGGAGATCCTTCCTGATGGTTGAGAACCATTCAAGTGCAGTACACACACCAATGACTCTTTCAACAGCCCCAGCAATGAGGGAGAGTGTGCCACACCACACGGCCAACCCCCGTGCTAGTTCTATCGGCTCATCTCCCTGCCCATTAGTGCTGAGACCCTGTGATTTCACAGCTAGACTCTGGTGACAGACCTGCAAATGGTCTCCTACCCTCCATTCTTGCTTTGTCAGCTTCCTTCTCATCTCCAAATTTACTCCTATCTCTGTACTATAGCCAAAGTGATGTTAAAATATGTATCTTTTAATAGACTGTGTTTTAGAGCAGTTTAAGTTCTCAGCAAAATTGAGAGGACAGTCATAGATTTCGCATATGCTTCCTGCCTGCCTGCATGCATAATATCCCCCATTATCAGCATCTCCCAATTGGTACAGTTGTTATAATTTATGAGCCTGTAATGATACATCATTATCTTTGAAAGACCACGAGGGTTACACTAGGTTTCAGTCTTGGTGTTAAACATTCAATGAATTTAGATAAATGTGTAATGATATGTATCCACCATCATAGTGTCAAATAGTAGTTTTGTTGCCCTAAAAATCCCCTGTGCTCTGCCTCTTCATCCCTCTTGCTCCTAACCCCTGGCAACCACTGATGCTGTGCCCACGGTTTGTCTTTTCAGAATGTCATGCAGTTGGAATCATATATCTGTATGTTTTTCACATTTTTTTTTTTACTTAGTAATACACATTTCTGATTCCTCCTTGTCTCCCTCTATGGCATGTGTGTATGTGTGTGTGCACTGGAGCACGCATGTGTGGGTACATGCCTATACGTGCACTATATTATTCCTTTGTCCAGATATACTAAAGCTTATTCACTCACCTATTAAATGATATCTTGGTCATTTTCAGGTTTGAATAATTATGAATAAAGCTGCAGTCAATATCTGTGTGCAGGTGTTCACGTAGACATGTTTCCAACTCATTCAGAAAAATGCCACAAAGTACAATTGCTGGATCACATTGAGCATATACTTAGTTTTGGGTGAAACTGCCAAACTGTCTTCAAAATGGCTGTACCATTTTGAGTAATCAGCAGTATCCAATAAGGGTTTCTCACCAACTTTGTCAGCATTTGGCATTGCCAGTATTTTACATTTTGGCCATTCTAAACCACATGCAATCATATTTCTTTGTTTTTGTCTTTGTTTGTTTGTTTGTTTTGTTTTTTTGCTGGAGTGGGGATTGAACCCAGGGCCTTGCACTTGCTAAGCAAGCACTCTACCACTGAACTACATCTCTAGCTCTTTTTATTTTATTTTGCGACAGACTCTCACCAAGATGCATAGGCTGGCCTCCAACTTTCCATTCTCCTGCCTCAGCCTCCCAAGTAGCTGGGACTATAGGTGTGCACCACTGTGCCTGACTCTTGTTTTTAATTTGTTATCCCCTAATGGCGTATGATGTTGTACGATATTTACATGCTCACTTGCCATCTGTCTTCTTAGGGGAGGTGTCTGTTAAGATCTTTGATGCACTTTTTAATTGGGTTGCATGTTTTCATGTAAGTTGTCAAAAGTTTTTGAATACTAGTTTTCTGTATACTAAAATATACATATCTGATATACTTTATCAGATTTTTTTTTTTTTTGCAAATATTTCCTTCCAGCAAAACAACCTTTGGAAAAATCAATTTGGATTATGTCACTTTCTTGCTCAAAATCCTTCAAGGGCTCCTTATTTTCTTCAGCATAAAAACCCAAACTTCTTAGCTTGTTCCAATTTAAATCAAACCCAGACTTCAATGTCACCCCCAGCCTTCCTTAAAGACACACACTTGGTTCCAGTCAAACTAGGCTGTCCTCTGCTACCTAACCCTCTGCATGACATTTATTATGGAGCACCTATTGTGTGCCAAATACCATATGATGTATATTTTTATAATTTCTTATTATGACCGTGGTAAAGTAAGGGTTTATTCCAAGAAGACAGTGGAACTGAAGGACACCTGGATTGGTTCTGCTCTCTTTGAGCAGAACCAATTGAGTCCTCTCAATGCCCTCTTCAGAGAGGACTTCTCTAAAATTATTTCTTGCCTGTGATCATGATTCTTACTGTTCCTTATGTTCAATTTCTACCAAACCAAGCGAGCCTCTTGGGATGAGAGCCCTCTCTTGTTCATATCTATTTTCAAGAACAGGG